TACCACTGGATAAAACAACTAAACAAAAAAAATCAGCAAAGAAACAGCAATCCTAAATGACTCACTAGATCAGATGGATTTAATTGACATCTTTAGAACATTCCACCTCAAAGCTACAGAATATACATTATTCTCCAGTGCACATGGAACATTTTCAAGGGTAGACCACATATTAGGACACAGGCAAAGTCTCTTCAAATTCAAGAAGATAGAAATCATATCAAGCATCTTCTCAGATTACAGTGGCATAAAAATCATTATTATAGTGGAAATAAACTACAATAAAAACAATCCCCAAAAAATCAAACACTTGGAGACTAAATAGCATTCTATTAAACAATGACTGGGTTACCAGATAGATGAAAGAAGAAATAAAAAACTTCATGGTAACAAATGACAATGAAAACACAACAATACAAAATCTATGGAACACAGTGAAAGCAGTCTTGAGAGGAAAGTTCATAGCTCTAAAGCCTACTGCAAAAACAAAACAAAACAAAATAAAACAAAAAACAAGAAACAAGAAACAATGATAATAAGGGAGAGAAACAAAGATAGAGGCATAGGTAAAAGCCTAACTGCAGCCTCACACAACAGTTTCAAAAAAATACAATTAAAATATAAAGTGACCGAAACTGGTTTGGCTCAGTGGATAGAGCGTCAGCCTGTGGACTGAAAGGTCCTGGATTAGATTCTGGTCAAGGGCATGTACCTTGGTTGTGTGCACATCCCCAGAAGGGGTGTGCAAGAGGCAGCTGACCAATAACTTTCTCTCAGTGATGTTTCTAACTCTCTGTCATTCTCTCTTCCTCTCTGTAAAAAATCAATAAAATATATTTAAATATATATAAAGTGGACATCATCCAGAACTATAAGAAAGTTGACTGACTGGAAATTCTACAACTAGAAAGAAAGAGAAAACCAGAAGGAAAATCAGAGGAGCTGTAAAAGCCTAAGGTACAGAGACACAGTGCGCACGTGGGGAGAGGACGGAGCCGGAGAGGAGGGGGAGGCCGAGTGCCTGGTTGGCGTTCCCTAGCGGGAAGGAGATAAAAGCTCCGGACTGTGCTGAGCCCCAGTTCCGACTGCACTGAACCCCAGTTCTGGGCAAGACCCTGGGGACCTAGACTCACACAGAGGGATTCTAAGCTGTAAGGCAGAAACTCAGGGGAGCGGCGAAAGGCAGAGCCCCTGAGTTGTGCACATTGCACACAGAGGACGGACTGTTGACTGTGCCACTGGATTGCCCTAGATGGAAGGAGACAAAAGTTTCAAACTGTGCTGAGCCCCAGTTCCTACTGCACTGAATCCCAGTTCTAGACCAGACCCTGGGGACCCAAGCTCATATGGAGGGAATCTGGGTTGTAAGGCGGAAACTTTGGGGAGCGGCGAAAGACAGAGCCCCAGAGTTGCTCACAAAGGATGGACTGTTGACTGTGCCGCTGGATTGCCCTAGTGGGAAGGAGACAAAAGTTCCGGACTGAACTGAACCCCAGTTCCGGGCTCATTGGGGGAGAGACTAGACCATCTGGTAGTGGGCGAAACTCGAGAGCACCTTTCTCTCAGAGGTGCTTGAAGTGAGTACCAAAGAACACTGAGGAACACTGAGACTCAGGAACCTCATAGGGTGGGGCTGACAGGAAGCCAAGGCTGTAGGCTCCACCCTGAAACTCTGCCCCATTTAAGCTGAGCACAGAGGCTTTTGAATAAGGCTGTCTCCCGGCTTAGACACAGCTGATCCTCACAGCCAATTGGCCTGGAGGTCAGTTCCTCCCAGTGATACCAATAACAACTAAGACTTAACTACAGCCGAGACTGGTTTGGCTCAATGGATAGAGCGTCGGCTTGGGGACTGAGGGGTCCCAGGTTCGATTCCGGTCAAGGGCATGTACCTTGGTTGCGGGCATATCCCCAATGGGGGGTGTGCAGGAGGCAGCTGATCGATGACTCTCTCTCATCGATGTTTCTAGCTCTCTATCTCTCTCCCTTCCTCTCTGTACAAAATCAATAAGATTAAAAAAAATAAATAAAAGACTTAACTACAAAAGGCTGTACACACAGTCCACAAAGGGATGCACCAAGAGTGTCTACCTCAGATAACTGGGAGGCTGACCCACGGAACCATATAGGACACCTTAGCACTTAAAGCCACCGAAGCTGTGAAAATACCGAAACAAGGAAACAGATCACAAACAAAAGAAATGGAGGACAAGAAGCGACTGGATATAGAGTTCAAAACTATGCTTATAATGTTTTTCAAGAATTCCCTAGAAAAAGCCGATAAAATAAATAAGACCTATGAGGATCCTGGGTTCGATTCCGGTCAAGGGCATGTATCTTGGTTGCGGGCACATCCCTAATACGGGGTTTGCAAGAGGCAGCTGATCGATGATTCTCTCTCATCAATGTTTCTAACTCTCTACTCCTCTCTCTTTCTCTCTGTAAAAAATCAATAATATATATATATTTTTAAATCTACAACCAAGCTTATTGTCTGAAAGAAATTGAAGAATTCATTAAAAAGATCCCAGCAAATAAAAACCCAGAGCCAGCTGAAACCAGTTTGGCTCAGTGGATAGAGTGTGGGCCTGTGGACTGAAAGGTCCCAGGTTTGATTCCGGTCAAGGCCATGTACTTAGGTTGCGGGCACATCCCCAATAGGGGGTGTGCAAGAGGCAGCTGATTGATGATTCTCTCTCACTGATGTTTCTAACTCCCTATCACTCTCTCTTCCTCTCTGTAAAAAATCAATAAAATATATTTAAAAAAAAAAAAAAAAAGCCTAGGCCCAAAGGTTACACAGGGGAGTTTTACCAAACATTCAAGGAAGAACTAAAGAGGAAGGAACACTTCCAATCCCATTTTATGAAACCAGCATCACCCTAATACCAAAATTAGATAAAAACAACATAATGAAAGAAAAATTCAGGCCAATATCCTTAACAAACATAGATGCCAAAATCCTCAACAAAATTCTAGCAAATCAGCTCCAGAGTTACATCAGAAAGATCATATACCATGACCAAGTAGTATTTATTTGAAGAATACAAGAAGGGTACAATATTCACAAGTCAATAAACGTGATACATCACATAAACAAATTGAGAGATAAAAACCACATAGTCATATCAATTGATGCAGAAAAAACATTTGACAAAATCCAACACACATTTTTTTATGAAAACTCTCAGCAAGGTGGGAATAAAAGGGTCATATCTCAACATAATAAAAGCCATATATGACAAATCCATAGCGAACATCATACTCAATAGACAAAAACTATAACCATTTCCCATAAGAACAGGAACAAGTCAGGGATGTTCACTTTATCCACTCCTGTTTGACATAGTACTAGGAGTACTAGCCATTGGGATTAGACAAGAAGAAGAAATATAAGGCATCCAAATTAGAAAAAAAGAAGAAAAACTGTCCTTAATCACTGATGACATAATACTGTACATAGAAAACCCTAAAGACTTCATAAAAAATTATTAGACTTAATAAATGAATTCAGCAATGTAGCATGATACAAACCCAAACAGGAAGCCAAAATTGGGAGAGAGAGAAAAAACAACCCCCAAATGAAAAAACAAGGGAATTCTCCAGAAGAGGAGATAAATGAAATGGAGATAAGAAACTTATCTGATATCAAGTTCAGAATAATGATGGTAAAAATGCTCTACAGCATTAGAAAAGATATAATAATCATAAAAATAACAACAGTTAGAAATAAAGAATGATATAGCACTAATAAAGGACACATTGGAAGGAACACACACCACATAAGGGAAAGTTAGAGATTGGATCAGTGAATTAAAAGGGTAAAAAAAATCACTCAATCAGAGAAACAAACAAAACAAAAAACAATTAAAAAAACAGGAGGACAGCTTAAGGGAGCTGTGGGACAACATGAAATATAACAATATTCACATAAGATGTGTGCCAGAAGGGGAAAAGGGGGAAAAAGGATAGAGAATGTGTTTGAAGAAATAATGGCAGAAAACTTCCCTAACCTTGTTGAGGAAAAAGTCATACAAATTCAGGAGGCACAGAGAGTCCCACACAAGAAGAACCCAAACAGACCCACACTCAGACACATCATAATTAAAATGCCAAAAATTAAAGACAAAGAGAGAATCTTAAAGGCAACAAGAGAAAAGAAAATACCTACAAAGGAGCTCCCAAAAGGCTATCAGCTGATTTCTAAACAGAAACTCTATAGGCCAGAAGGGAATGGCATGAAGTATTCAAGGTAATGGAAAACAAGGATCTGAAACCAAGATTACTATATCAAGCAAGGCTATCATTCAAAATATATGGTCAAATAAAGAGCTTTTAGAAACAAACAAACAAAAAAAGACTAAAGAAGTTCATCACCACTAAACTAGCACTGCAAGAAATGCTTAAGGGCCTGCTGAAATGACAAGAAGAAACACAGAGTGAAAGAAACCTAGGCATATAGAATTAAAATGGCAATAAATAAGTACCTATCAATAATAACCTTAAATATAAATGGATAAAATGCTCCAATAAAAAGACATATGCTGGCTGAATGGATAAAAAAACACAACCCATATATATGCTGTCTAGAAGAGATCCACCTCATAACAAAAGACTCACACAGTCTAAAAATGAAGGGTTGGGAAAGTTTTTTTCAGGCAAAAAGAAATCGGGGAAAAAAAGTTGGGGTTGCAAAACTCTTATCTGATAAAATAGACCTCAAAGCAAAGGCCATAATAAGAGATAAAGAAGGCCACTTTATAATACTAACCAGATGGATACAACAAGAGGATATAACTCTGGTAAACATATATGCACCTAATACAGGAACCCCCAAATTCATTAAAAAAAAAAAATACATCTGTCCAGACGTGGCGGCAGCCGCCGCCATCTGTCACTACAGCTTCGGCTCAGGCTCCGGCTCCCCCGTCGCCCCCGCCCCGCCTCCGGTCTCCACGGAGGCTGCTCCCTGGCCCCGCCATCGCTCCCGTGCTCGAGGCTGGTTTCGTCCCCGTATGGATCTGGTCGGAGTGTCATTGCCAGAACCCGGGCCTGCAGCAGCCTGGAGACCCAACAAGTGTCCATGGGCTACTCCTCAAAAGACAATATCCTGTTCTTTGGCTGATGTCATGAGTGAGCAGTTGGCTAAAGAGTTGCAATTAGAAGAAGAAGCTGCTGCTTTTCCTAAAGTTGCTGTTGCTGAAGGACCATTTCTTACTGGAGAAAACACTGATACTTCTAGCGACCAGATGCTACAAATGGAATTTGACAGAGAATATGATGCACAGCTTAGGCGTGAAGAAAAAAAATTCAATGGCTATAGCAAAGTTTCCATTTCCTTTGAAAATTATCGAAAAGTGCATCCCTATAAGACAGTGATAGCTCTGAAGATGAGGATGACTGGCAGGATACTCGAGATGATCCCTATAGACCAGCAAAACCAATTCCTACTCCCAAAAAGGGTTTTATTGGAAAAGGAAAAGACATCACCACCAAACATGATGAAGTAGTATGTGGGAGAAAGAATACAGCCAGAATGGAACATTTTGTACCTGGGTTTCAGGTAGGAGATGGAATTGGAATGGATTTAAAACTATCAAACCATGTTTTCAATGCTTTAAAACAACATGCCTACTCAGAAGAACGTCGAAGTGCCCGCCTCCACAAGAAAAAAGAACACTCTACTGCAGAAAAAGCAGTTGATCCTAAGACACGCTTACTTATGTATAAAATGGTCAAATCGGGAATGTTGGAGACCATCACTGGTTGCATCAGCACCGGGAAGGAATCTGTTGTCTTTCATGCTTATGGAGGGAGCATGGAAGATGAAAAAGAATATAGTAAATTTTTACCTACAGAATGTGCCATCAAGGTATTTAAAACAACCCTTAATGAGTTTAAGAACCGTGACAAATATATTAAAGACGATTTCAGGTTTAAAGATCGCTTCAGTAAACTAAATCCAAGTAAGATCATCCGAATGTGGGCAGAAAAGGAAATGCACAACCTCACCAGAATGCAGTAAGCTGGAATTCCTTGCCCGGCAGTTGTGCTGCTCAAGAAACACATTTTAGTCATGTCTTTCATTGGCCATGATCAAGTTCCAGCCCCTAAACTGAAAGAAGTAAAGCTCAGTAATGAAGAAATGACAGAAGCCTACTATCAAACTGTTCACCTGATGCAGCAGTTATATAATATAACTAATGCACCTCAGTGAATATAACATGCTGTGGCATGCTGGGAAGGTTTGGTTGATTGATGTCAGTCAGTCTGTAGAACCAACCCATCCTCATGGCCTGGAGTTCTTGTTCCGTGACTGTAGGAATGTCTCACAGTTTTTCCAGAAGGGCGGAGTAAAGGAAGCACTTAATGAACGGGAGCTCTTCAATGTTGTGACTGGTTTAAACATCTCAGCAGACAACGAGGCTGACTTCTTGGCTGAGATAGAAGCTTTGGAGAAAATGAATGAAGATCATGTTCAGAAGAATGGAAGGAAAGCTGCTTCATTTTTGAAAGACGACGAAGGTCCTCCAGTCCCACACGATGAATAGCCCAGATACCCGCTGCTCTCAGTGGTGACCCAGCGGCAACTGCCAGCTGCTAACGCCTAATGAAGTTACGGGCAACGTGAGACCCCAACACGAGGAGTGTACAATGGTGCTTCTGTGCTTTCCCCCGGTATCCCTGCGCCAGATGTGTGCAATTTTTAGCTCGGCATTGAGAGAATAAAATGTCACTACCTCTCACAAACAGGATAATATAATTCTTTAACAGTTACAGGTTATTTAGTTGAAATCGACCGGATTTTACAGGATTCGTGGTGTAAAATGTTTTGATGAGAATTTTTAAAATGTGGTAACGTTTTCAGATATGGGAGGAAAGGCAGACGTTTACAAGGGAGGCTATTATTGCCACCTACTTGTTCTGACACATCCCTGCTTTGAGACTCATCTTTCCTCGAATATTTTATTGGCCTGAAATTGGCCCTTCTCAATTACTTCTCCAGATTGTGACCATGATTCTAAAGGAAAATATCTTCTTTAATAGGTGTTTTAAATGGAATTCTGGTTTCAAAATGGCTGATGGAAATAGACATAAGCCAAATACTTTATTGGTACATCGTGAATATGAACTGAGTTCTTTTCCATATTCACAGCCAAGAAAAGGATTGTAGGTTTCTGAAAGACATATATATATATATATATATATATATATATATATATATATATGAACCACCCAAATTCTTAAAAATTAACTTCCAGCATTTCTACATTTGGGTGAAAGGGATAGAGCGTGACGCGTGGTGCATCTGCTCTGCATTTATAAGGAAAATGTAAGCTACCTGGAAAGGTGGGATGCTAAGATTTAACCTGTTTGACACATTTTAATGAAGTAAGTGATACAAAGTTCAGTTTCCATCACTCAAACTCTGTTCTTGCACATTTTGAGAGAAAGATACCAAGTCAGATGATGAACACTGAGTCTGAAACAAGTTGGGCACCAAATTAACAACTGACTTGAACCATCTGACCTCACTTTTAATAATTTTTAGACTGGTCAAATGCCACTTCTTAAGTAAAGCAAGCAATGTACTGGTTTTTCTAGACTGAAGTTCATTAACTACAATGTAATCATTCCTCCTATTGCTGATTTCAGACTGGAACCACTAGAGACCCAATCTGTTCACCGAAAGTAAAGATCTAAGCATTACTTACACTTGAAAGTTTCTCCTTTAATATTATTTTAAAATGCCAAATATGTTCTTTCTTGAAAAAATACTTTTTATTTCTGTTGTATACATTTTAAGAGAAATGTGATTTGGGGTCAATACTTATTACATTTCTTAAGTGTTTACTACTATAAAACAGATTTCAATGACTGATGATTATTGGTTTTACAAAAATTTCAAAGACCTATTTTTTAAAAACCATTAACCACTTAATATGTGTTTTGTTTTCTGACATACTCTGACTAAGAGCAGCAAACCGTTGCTGTATAGCATTCATAGAGTGTGCTGTGAACATGCTTTTTAAGAAATTAAAAATGAATAAAAAAAATACATCTGGGAGATGTCAAGATTGACATTGACAGCAATACAACTATAGTGGGGGATTTTAATACCCCACTGACATCACTAGAAAATCTTATAGATAAAAAAATCAACAAAGAAACAACAAGCCTAAATGATTCACTGGAACAGATGGAACTGATCTTCAGAACATTACATCCCAAAGCTACGGAATATACATTCTTCTCAAGTGCTCATGGGACATTTTTACAGATAGACCACATATTAGGACACATGCAGAGTCTCTTCAAATTTAAGAAGATTAAAATTATATCAAGCATCTTCTAAGATCACAATGGCATAAAGTTAGAAATCAACTACAATAAAAAAACAGATAAAGACAATAAAAAAAATCAAACACATGGAGGCTAAATAGCATGCTATTAAACAATGATTGGGTTACCAAAGAGATTAAAGAAGCAATGTTAAAAATCCTGGAAACAAATGACAATAAAAACACAACATCCAAAATCTATGGGACACAGTGAAAACAGTTCTAAGAGGGAAATTCATAAGATTACAGGCCTACCTCAAAAAAACAAGAAAAACTGGAAATAAATTATCTAATCTTACAACTTAAAGAATTAGAAAGAGAGCAACAAGAAAAGCCCCAGGTAAGCCAAAGGAGAGAATTAAAGATCAGAGAGGAAATAAATGACATAGAGACAAAAAAAAAAAAAAATCAAAACAATAAAAAAGATCAATAGAACAAAGAGCTGTTTCTTTGAATGGATAAACAAGATTTATGAACCTCTAGCCACGCTTACCAAAAAGCAAAGAGAGAGACCCAAATAAATAAAATCAGAAATGAAAGAGGTGAAGTAACAACTGACCCCACAGAAATACAAAGGATTGTAAAACGAAACAACAACAACACAACAATAAAAAACTATGAACAACTATATTCCAACAAACTGGACAATATAGATTAAATGGGAATATTCCTAGAAAAATACAATCTTCCAAAACTCAATCAAGAAGAATAAAAAAATCTAAATAGCCTGATAACTATGGATGACATTAAAGCAGTAATTTAAAAACAAACAAATAAAAAAATTCCAGCAAACAAAGGCCCTGGTCCAAACAGCTTCACGGGGAAGTTTTACCAAACATTCAAAGAACTAAAACCTAACCTCCTCAAAATATTCAGGGGAAGGAATACTTTCAAGCTCTGTTTATGAGGCCAGTATTACCCTAATCCCAAAATCACATAAAGACACTAAAAAGAAAGAGAAATACAGGCTAATATTCCTGATGAACAAATATGATAAAAATCCTCAACAAAATTCTAGCAAGTCAGATCTAGCATTACATTAGAAAGATCATACACCATAACCAAGTGAGATTTATTCCAGGAATGCAAAGCTGGTATGATACCCACAAATCAATAAACATTATACATCACATAAACAAACTGAAAGACAAAAATCACATGGTCATTTCAATTGATGCAGAAAAAGCATTCAACAAAATTCAACACCCTTTCTTGATAAAAACTCAGCAATGTAGGAATAGAGGGATCATACTTCAACATAAAAAACCTTATATGACAAACTACAGCCAACATCATATTCAATGGGCAAAAACTTAAACCACTTCCCCTAAGACCAGGAAAAGACAGGGATGTCCACTTTTACCACTCATGTTTGACATAGTACTGGAAGTGCTAGCCATAGTGATCAAAGAAGAAGAAGACATAAAAAGCATCCTAATTGGAAAAGAAGAAGTAAACCATAATTATTTGCAGATGAAATGATATTGTGCATAGAAAACCCTGAAGACTCCATGAAAAAACTACTTGATTTAATAAATTAATTTAGCAAAATAGCAGGATACAAAATTAACACCCAAAAATCTATGACATTTTTATACACTAACTAGAGGCTTAGTGCTGCACAGCATTCATGCATCGGGGGGCAGGGGGGCTGCACCCTTGCACATTCTGGGACCCCCTCAGGGGATGTCTGCCTGCCAGAGGGCAGCTTCTGAATTAAGTGTCTGCCCCCTGGGGGTCAGTGTGCATCATAGCAACCGGTTGTTCCACCACTTGGTCGATTTGCATATTAACCTTTTATTATATATAGGATAATGAACTCACAGAAAGAGAAACTAAAAATAGAAAAGTAACATTTACCATTGCAATAACAAAATTAAGGTACTTATGAATACACTTAACTAAGGAGATAAAAGACCTGTACTCTGAAAACTATAGGATGTTGAAAAAAGAGATAGAAGAAGATATAAACAAGTGGGAGAATATACTATGTTCATGAATTGGTAGAATCAGCATAATTAAAATGTCCATACTATCAAAAGCAATCTATAGATTCAATGCAATCCCCACTAAAATACCAATGGCATATTTCATAAACCTGGAACAAGCCGAAACCGGTTTGGCTCAATGGATAGAGCGTCGGCTTGGGGACTGAAGGGTCCCGGGTTTGATTCCGGTCAAGGGCATGTACCTTGGTTGCGGGCATATCCCCAGTAGGGGGTGTGCAAGAGGCAGCTGATCGATGACTCTCTCTCATCGATGTTTCTCACTCTCATCTCTCTCCCTTCCTCTCTGTAAAAAATCAATAAAATAAAAAATAAAAAAGAAAAAAGAACATAAACCTGGAACAAACTCTCCAAAAATGTATATGGAATAAAATAAAATAAAATAAACCCTAAGTCCTAACCAACTTGGCTCAGTGGATAGAGCATCAGCCTGTGGACTGCAGGATCCTGGGTTGGATTCCAGTCAAGGGCACAGGCTGGATTGTGGGCTTGATCCCCAGTAGGGAGTGTGCAGAAAGCAGCTGATCAATGATTCTCTCTGATCATTAATATTTCTATCTCCCTCTCCCTTCCTCTCTAAAATAATAAAAATATACATTTTTTTAAAGTCCCCAAATAGTTGCAGCAATCCTGAGAAAAAAAGAACAACATTAAGGGATCACAATACCAGACAAAATTATATTACAATGCCACTCTTCTCAAAACAACATGGTACTGGCACAAGAACCAACACATAGACCAATGGAACAGAACCAAGAACCCAGAAATTGACCCAAACCATTATGCTCAATTAATATTTGACAAAGGAGGCAAGAGTACACAATGAAGTCAAGACAGTCTCTTCAATAAATGGTGTTGGGAAAATTGGACAGATACAAGACACACACACAAAAAAAAGTTGGTAGGAACTTGACTACCAACTCACTTCATTCACAAACATAAACTCAAAATGGATAAAAGACTTAATCATAAAACAGGAAACCATAAACATCTTAGGAGATTACATAGGCAGAAAAATATCAGATACTAGAAGCCCAGTACACAAATTCGAGCATGGGTGGGGTCTGGCTGGCCCAGCCCCAATCGGAGCAGATTGGAGCTGGGTCTGTAAGGAGGAGGAGTTGTCATGAGGTTGGCAGGCTGGCCCGCCCCCATTGGGGCCCAATCAGGACTGGGCTGGCTGGGGTGATGGGCCCCAGGCGATTGGCCAACAGGCCCCATCCCTGATTGGGGTGAGAGGGCTGATTTGGGGTCAGTGGCCAGGGGAGGGGCTGTGGGAGGTTGGCCAGCCAGCGCCACCCACGATTGGTGTGTGTAGGGGCAATCAGGGTCAGAGCTGGCTGGGGAGAGAGGCAGCAGGCTTATAAGGGGGGGGTGGGGGCTGATCTGGGTGTGGCC